GCCTGCCACAATGCAGCCTGGGGATTCTAGGTGAGACCACAATACAAAAATAAATAATTTTAGGGCAAACTGTGAAGATGGTTACAGCTCATCCCCTAAAACTGCAGTGATAATGCCACATGCCTATATTCTTCACATACTAGTTGTGCATATTCATTTTTGTAATTGTAGAGTAATCATTAATTTTTGGGGGGAGTGTTTTTATTTTTATTGAAAATGAATACTTGTAGGCATTTACAAATACAGAAAATTATCTGGACTTTGAAGGACGATAAATGTGATGGGTGGGAATTGGTACTTTGGGTAACATTTTGTATCTTGTCATGACCCATTTGCATGAAGGCCAAATGTGGCTGCTGTAGGTAAGGGATGAGGGAGGCATACACGTGTGCACACACACACACACGCGCACACACAAAATTTGGGTGCCATTTACAACACTACTTAAAGAGGAAACTAATTGAAGTATAACAAACACCAGGATTTCATTAATCAGCATCACTTAGGAAAAATATGTGCTGTTAAGCCCTTTCAGTTGGGAGTCATGGCCAATGCTAGGGTTCAGAGCTGAATACATTAGTGCTTAATGTATATGCATGGCCTGATTCACTGGCACCAAAGATTAATTCATTAAACCTGGCAACATTTATCCCACGTTGAGCAAGTGACAGGATTTAAAGGGAGATGCTGCAAAGCACTTGCCTATGTGTTGCTCCTTAATAAAATCCGTGCTATTTTTCTAACTGTAGCTCAGAATGAGACACAAAAATATAAATATGTATCAAAATGGCAAGTAACGTGCAGATGAGCTGCTTACATAGAAGAAGGCATCAATAGTAGGTAATCCCATGTGCTTGTTTGTACGTTTTTAGATGTTCTAGTTAGGGAAGGATTAGAGCATTCCAGTCAGTGCAACTTGACAGTGTGTTAAACGAGGCCATTCCAGCTCTTTAGAATGTCTATGCAAAGTGCTGCAGTAAGCTTAGCTGTCCAATGCATTTTCCTAGGCAACTACTTAGTAGTTAGCAATATTAAGGGAGTGGATTTTGCTTTATGTGGCAGACATAGTAAGACATATTCAGTATGGAAAAGGAATACAATGAGGATGGTGGTGGGGAAGCTGCTGGCTACATTTCCGTACCGTCCCTGTAATAATGACTACACACAAGTGGCAATTTTTATTTGCTGTTGCTTAACAAAAACTGAGGCTTAGAAAATGGAAACAGTAGTGGATCAGGAATTGGGCAGTTAGCTTAGTCTTAGCCTCATCACCATTCTTCACCTCAATGGAAAGTCATGCAGAATACTCCGATTTCAAAAGCAATTTTTTAAAATATGGAAGAATCTTTATGTTCACATGAATCCAGAATGAAAAACCAGTCCAGGTCATTGTAGTGATTTATATCAGTTCCAGAAAATTCCGTGTGATTGTTCTGTTCACAGACACTGGAATGGTAGACAATATTATGCAATCCTGCTTCTAGATGCTAATACCCATGTGTTCCCTTTTTATATGACTAAAGGTCGCTTTTGTATTCAAACACAAAAGCTGGAACTGTTGAAGCACATTTGAAAGCTGGGTTCATTGTAAATCTTGCATATTAAGGTAACTTAGGGTATATCTACACTGCAGTGCTATTTTGGGATACCAGAGGTATCCCAAAATAGCTACCCCACATGCTATTTTGGCATCCCTGTAAACCTCGTTGCATGAGAGATAGAGAATGTTTTGAAATAGTGTTTTATTTAGAAATTTGGCATTGTGTAGATGCGCTAGATTTCAAAATAGCCTATTTCGAATAATAATCAAAATAAGATACATGATTTTTGTAGCACAGATTGCGTATCTTATTTTGTGCTAAGGTGGCAGTGTAGATGCACCCTTAGTGATTGGCATAATATCAACACAGTTAAAGTGGCTAATGTAAAAACATAAATGCTAAGAGAGAATGAGAGCTGTGTTACCAAGACTCCTAAAGAGATCAGGCAACTAATGGGTAAATAAAGAATAAAAATGTTCAAGTTTGTTGAAATACCATCAGAAATTTTAAAAGGTAAAACACAGAGAGGCACCGTTCATATAAGCTAAGTATATGCACAGTTCTCGTTTTGCACATGAAAGATGGAATCATTGATCTGTTAGGTGTTCAAATGTCTGCTGCTCTTCTGCCTAGGGGTTAGTTAAGTTGGTTTTGAAACCATGGAGCTTAACAAACAAGGGAGTGCTTAACAAATAAATAATGCTAATAAGTATACACGATTGCTTTCCTTTGTTCACATTTAATTCCTCTGTATAGGGATTGGCTTCCTTACCAATTTTGGGCTGCTCCATGAACCACTTAAACAGCCCTGGGACCTATGTAAAGGTACACCTAAACAAGAGCTGGAACTTTTTAGCGTGCTAGTTCAGTCAGACTAGCATGGGCATGTCTCCTTGGCCTGGAACAGCGCATCCAGGTAGCAGAACAGACATAGCCCCAGGGCATGTCTATGCTACCTGTTGGCTCCATGGGCAATGATCGATCCAACGGGGGGTGTCAATTATTGCGTCTAATATAGACGTGATAAATCGATTGCCAAGCGCTCTCTCATTAACTCTGGTACTCCACCAGAACAAGAAGTGTCTGCCATTGACTCACCACAGTGAAGCCATCCTGGTAAGTAGATCTAAGTACATTGACTTTAGCTACTTTATTTGCGTAGCTGAAGTTGTGTAACTTTGATCAATGGCCCGTGGTAGACTAGACCAGGCCTCAGTTACAGCAGCATCTCTGGGCTGCACCATGGCTGTCCAGAATCTCTACTGTGCTGTGGCACCATCCACAAAGTTATCTAATCAGGGAAGTATCTTGCAGCTCTCTTTTTTTGGGCTTGCCCCACCAGGATCCTCCCTTAGCTCAATATGGTTTACACAGCATAAATGGGCCAGAGTAAATTCTTACCCCAAAATGTAAAATCTCCTTCTGCATATACACAGTGAGATATTTTATCCTGTTTATTTATCCTAAAAAATTAAGTTCAGAAGGTCTAGTACAGGACTACTCAACATGCGGCAGGACTACTCAACACGCGGCCCGTGGCCTGTTTGTTTGTGGCCCACAGTGCAGTTTGGGTTTACGTGTGGCTCAACACCTGTCCGGTGGGTGGGAGCCAAAACAAAAAAGGAGTCAACATAATGGTCTTCTGTGTTATCGTAGTTAAATTCCTAGATTGTCATTACTCATTAAAAGTGCTGTCATATGGGTAGAAATCAGGTAACTATTGCATTTTATTAATATCAGTAGAATTGACTTACATGGGGCCTGTGTGTTGTGTAGTCTTGCCTTAATCTTTGTATTCATGTCCATCAGTGTTGAAAGATGCTATTTGCATATATACATGCATGTATATGCAACCACGTTTAAGTTGCGGCCCGTGGCATGTGCTATGAATATCATTGTGGCCTCTGGGGCTTCCAAAGTTGAGTAGCCCTGGTCTAGTATGTCTTAAACTGTACTGTGAACTTCCTGCAGCACTTTAAGCTGACAAAAGGGGTGAAAATAGCACAGAACATTGAAATGACACACTCTAGAATGTACAGGCTTGCAGGATGCCTGCGTTTCTTGACTGATTAAATGTTTCTGGCTCTGAGCATCCATACTTTTTGTCATGTGTAATTGCTTACATATTCTTCACAGTTGACCTAATATAATGGAAAGCATATGACTGAAGGGATCTTGTTGCTATCCTACATTATTTTTGTTTTGTCAGAAAACTGTACAAGCGTTACGCCTTTCTCCGCTGTGATGATGAGAAAGAACAATTCCTTTATCATCTTCTGTCATTTAATGCTGTTGATTACTTTTGCTTCACCAACGTTTTCACAACAATCTGTAAGTACCTGTTTTCCCTGCAATGCTTCATTTTTCAGTTGTTTCTCCTTATGCAAGTTTCTAAGCAGTTTTGATAGGTTCTTTCACAGAGTTGCCTTAATTTCCTGTTCACATCCAGATATATACCACTATATCACTATAAAAAAATTGATCTTGAGAGGTGATAGTGCTTATTCTACTGTCACTCAGAGGTTTGTTTTGCCCTCAGTGAGTGAATATTATGATCAGTAGGAGTTGCCTGTGTGCAACATGAAACTAATAAAGCTATCAATAATGTTGTTTAATTGTCACTAACTGAATATTGCTGCTATCTAAATGCAGAAATGCAGAGCAACCTTGTTTAATCAAATAATTGGCTGAGGGACATAATTTGTATGATTTAGATTATGATGCCAAAACCCACTCTTACCAATTTCATTAAAAAAATATTTTTATTAATAGTTTATTACTTGGTCCTAGAAGATTTTTCCCTTTTTACATTCCATTAATGTAATGTGGTACAGAAAGGTTCACAGTGCATACTAGCTGGAATTGGACATCTACAGTATTTAACACATTAACATGTAATAGCTTTGTTGCAGTAAATATTGGCAACAAACAAGCCTAACTTAATTCAAGTCTCAGCTTATGATTGTCTGAATTGGGGCAAATGGCAAAGCATGGTCTGAGTGCATGTGCATTTATATAACAAAAATGTAGGCACAGAGCTAGACGAAAGAAAACTGGTTTTTAAACACAGTTCTCCCTGTATAACCGTCGGCAAGTCATTTAACCTTTGTGCCTTAGTTTTCCTGTGTGTAAAATGGGAACAGTAGCCATCTCAGTGATATGATTTTATGTTCTCTAAATGAAATAGGGGTATGTAAATGAAAAAAACATTATTTGAAGTATAGTTTTATTCTTTGTTTTACGATGTTTGTCATCCACTCTACTTTTAATAGACTGCGTTAATATTATCAGATGAGCACTGTATGTTTTCAGATTTTTTTTTTTTGGCAGTTCCATACTTGCTGTTCAAATCTTTGGCATTTGATAAGAGATTATATTATTATTAAACATAAAGAGGAAAAGACAATGTAACAAAAGGTTCAACTTATTATTTTATGTGATTATTCTTTTTGGAGAGTATTCTTTTCAGTGAGTTGCTTTTTATATTTGCAGTGATCCCGTACCATATACTGATTGTGCCTAGCAAGAAACTTGGTGGCTCAATGTTCACTGCTAACCCTTGGATCTGTATCTCAGGAGAGTTGGGTGAAACAGGAGTCTTGCAGATTCCCAGGAATATACTGGAGATGACATTTGAGGTCAGTATTATTGACACAAGGACATATTTTGTTGGTAAAACATTCTTGTTCAATGTAAATTCACCTTTCAGAGTTTCGTCAGTATCATAGTCACAAGCACTATTTCTTTTTTTGTACCCACCAAACTACGACACCCACATTTAAGCCGTGTGCAGGGCAGAATGGCTGGTAAAACAAGCTGAGGTGAGAAGGTTTAGACATCTGCCTTTATTAATTTTGTTATAAGAGTTTTATATCTCCGCCTCCTCTACTTTTTTACGTCAGTTCATTTTTTAGATCAGTTGTCTTTTTTAATAAGTGAGTCGACTTTGTTTCCTCCGAATATCAGATTATCTACTATCCTATCTCATTTTAGTATCAAACATTTCTAAAAGATTGTGGAGGTTTCTGATTCCCCCAGTATTGTAAATTGGGAGCAAACCTTACCTTTTCCAGATCCTGCCACTGCCCAGAAGGAAACTCCTGTGACTTTCTTAACAGCTTTTTTTTTTTTTAAGTCACGGTAGACTGCCCCATGTATAAGTATCAGTAGTGCATCAGTCTTTGATATTGTTACCTCTAGCAGTACCTAGAAACCCCAGCAGAGATCTCTGTGCCATTGTACTAAATGCTGTACAAACACTTACTAAGAGGCAGTCCCTACCCAAATATATTATGGTCTAAACAGACAAGATTGAGGACAACCAGAATCATGGACAGTGAAAGGGATTTGCCTAGGGTTACATAGCAGAGCAGGGATTAGAACCCAAGTCTCCTGACTTTTCTCCCCAGCACCCTGTACCCTGGATTACACCGCCTCAGTGAATGTCAGTTCATTCGTCAGTTTCTAGTTGGTTTTGCTATAACAGGTAACTTGTTTAATTTGCAGTGCCAGAATCTGGGAAAACTTACCACAGTACAAATAGGACATGATAATTCAGGGCTCTACGCCAAGTGGCTGGTGGAATATGTGATGGTCAGAAATGAAATAACAGGGCATACTTACAAGTAAGTATCATCTTGGCATTTTAAATTGGGCAGTCGATTTTTTGCAGGGACTTAGTGTAACGGGCCTGTCTGTTCATCGGTGCACCTCGTCTCAGACTCGGCATCGCCAGGTGCTGAAGCCCATGGTTTTAGAGCAGTGATGGGCATACTAGGCTAGTGAGTGGATTGCATGACTTGCCCTCCATCTCAGTTTTAACCGAGATAGTCTCCCAGGATAGAGTCATTTTGGTCATTGCGCCTGCCTCCCTAGAATTTGCAAACTGAACTGCAGCAGCGCTGTGATTGGATGCAGAGGGAGCACAGGGCTCTTCCAGTCAGTGCTGTGTACAATCAGCACGCACCTCATTTCACGTGCCCTTGTTTTAAGTGTGTGTCACTTTAGTAAAACTGGTAGGAAATAAACTATGCCAGTGAAAACCAGCAGAGTCTGGCAACCTTGTGCATAGGCAATGGTAAACAAAATGTCTTATGGGCCACATACACAGCACCAATGGGCTGCAAATTACTAACCACTAAGTTAGAGGATCAGTTGACTTCTGGTATTGAGCAGTATCAGGATTCTTATGAAAATAAATTGAGTTTCATTTACGGATGGCTCATATTTAGCAACCCAAACTGATGAGCCAGATGCAGAGCTAGTGAGAGGGGTAAGCATCTCAAAAGGAAATTCCCTTCAGACTAAACAAATAGCCAGTTAGAACTTGCTGCTTATCAAATACAGATAATGTGCAGTAGTACATGCACAGATCTGAAAAGCTCTATGCAATTATCCGAGGAACTGATTTTTTGGGGACTTGTCAGAATGGAAGTGGGTTTGAGCATTAAACTTATGCACATTTAGTGAGAGGGGTAAGAGAAGTTTGATAATTCTTACTACACATGTCACATGTTTGATTTGTGATTTGCTGTGTGATTTGATGCTCTGTCTCTTGCTTATATAAGCTAGGACAGCCTTCCATCAGAGAGAAGATAGTTGTAAATCCTTTCAGTTCACAATGTCAGCTCGTTTGTCATTGAGCAATGGAGCATGATTCTGGTTTTGGACACTGTTTGCTTTCCTGATTGAGTTGGTTTGATTTTGAGCCAATGTGGCTTGAAAGAGAGAATTTCCTAATGTCTGGACTTCCAAATAGCTGTATTCCATTATTTGGGAATGCTGGCATAGACAATTGTTTGTAGATGGCTGCTGTGAAAGTATTCATAGATGCTTCGAAGAAGCCAAGTGACCAGAAAAAAGCTTATATCAGGGTTGGGCAATGATTTTTGATTGGGGGGGGGCAACTTCAAGACTTTGGTAAGTGGTCAAGGGCTGCACTTTTCTATGGAGGGAGTGCAGTGTCTGGGACAGAAGTTAGGTACAGATGGGAGCTTGGGGTACGGGATTGGGATGCAGGAGAGAGTATGGGGTCTGAGAAGGAATTATTGGGTGAATGAGGGAGTTGTGACTTGGGGCAGGGGATTGGGTTGCAGGGTCAAGAAAGGGTATGGGTGCAATAGAGGATTCTGGCCTGGGGGAGGAGCATAAGAAGGGGGTACATGGTCTGGGAGGGAGTTGGGTGCAGGAAAGGATGGGGTACCAGAGGCAGGCTCTGGCATGTTTCCCTACTGGCCAGCAGCCCCAGACCGCCCTGTTCCATGTGGTTCTCTTAGTTGCTGGGGTGGGAGGAGGAAGGGGACTTTGGACTGTGTCCACAACCTCAGCAAAATCTTTCAGCTACCATTGGCCAGTTTCCGGCCAATTAGGAGCTGAGAGATTTTTGCTAGGGAGCAGCTAGCTGCTTTGAGCGGTGCTGTTCCATGTCACAGAGGTGGGTGGGCCAGATTAAAAGGCTTGGTGGGCCAGATCTGGTCCATGGGCTGAATCTTGCCCATCCCTGGTTTAAGTGTTTAACATGTAGGGTTACATAAGCAATTGAGCTGTGAACCAATGTGCTAACTTCTTCCAGACTATTGCATCCATATTTCTACAGGTGCTTCTGGTGTTAGAGGTTAAAAGGATCATTTGCTTACCATGCTGTTGTGTGGGGAGACGGGAGGGAAGAAACCCTGCCAACCAAATGTCCTGTGTATGGAGGAGAATGTAGAAAGGCCGCTGCTTCTTTTATTTTATGTATCTGTGTCATCTGTTACCGTGAACAGCACAAATCTGGAATAGGGCTATTGAACTTGTGCTCCCTCTGGCAAAAAGAGCCAAAATAAATAGAATTTGTTTGTTTGCCACTGAGTAAAATCATTTTTTAATTCAGTCAGGATAACCAGAAGCTGGAGTATGTGTAGTCCCCAATTTTAAGCCTTTATATCTTTAGGTTTCCTTGTGGGAGGTGGCTTGGAAAGGGAATGGATGATGGCAGTTTAGAGAGGATCCTGGTGGGAGAGTTACTAACGTCACACACCGAGGCAGATGAGAGGCAGTGCAGAACCCCGCCTCTGCAGCAGTCACCAAGTATGATCCGAAGATTTGTCACTATATCACCAAATAACAAACCAAGTAAGTCAGAAGGGACATGCAGCATTGTTTGTAATTATCTGTTGCCGGTAAAGACGCCTCCAAAATTTAAGTTACTTGCATCATTTATACCTTCTGTGTCCCCTTGAGTTGGACTGTAGAGGTGATGAGTGAGTCACAGGGTATGGCTGCGATCAGACACCTGTGGCTGATCAGTGTCAACTGTCCCAGGACTCTGGGGAAGTGGGATGTGTACTTGGGTTGTAGATATTTGGCTCTGGGACCTTCCCACCTCACAGGATCCTAGAGACCAGGTGCAGCTTGAGCCTGAATATCTACATTACCCTTAAGCAGCCCCTTAGCTGGAGTAAGCTAACACAGGCCAGCTGTGGGTTTTTAATTTCACTGTCCATGTCCCAAGGAGATTTACCTTCAGTTCTCCCCCGCTTCCCTCTTGGCACTGCCAATGACATCCAGTTATTTGCAAAGCTTTTCTGTGGAAGGTGTTCTGGTTTGTCTTGTCAGGTCATTCCCGGCATATCATTTTGTTCCACTTTCTTCTCCCTCTCACCCGGATTTATAGCAATACTCCTTCTGTAACACAACTTCAAAGACTCCTACATTTGCATCCCCTGCCTCCACACAGTACAAAGCACATTTTTTTTTCTTTTGTTTCAAACTCTGTTCAGAAAACTTTCATAATAAAGTATAAAACAACATCCGTATTATTTTTTGATTGAAACATCACAGTCAGCTTAGGTCCACACCTTCAAGTTTAAAAAGGGGAAAAAAAAAACTTTACAGAGCATGAGAAAAAGTGCTGACAATCCAGCACAAACATTAGATATGTCACAGGTAGTCACTGTGCACGTTCATCACCCTGCACTACCATTGTGCTTTAATCCCAGTCTACAGGTATCACCTCAAATCCTTAAGAAGTAAGTGAAAATTGTTTCTTATTTTCTACAGAGTTAAACACAGGTCAGATACAAGAAGCGATTGGTGAAGCAGTGAATGGCATTGTCAAGCATTTCCACAAACCGGAAAAGGAGGTGAGAAATTGTTGGTACGATGGAACTAGCTATCTACTCTGTTTTTCTGATGCTAATGAGTCTATAAGCTGCAATGGTACACCTCCCAATACATCACTTTTGCTGTTAATTGTACTGTTGTATGTTGTTGGTCAATATCCATCATCCTGTTATCTGAACCCACAATAAGGGCCAAATTCTGTCTAGGATTCATCTATATGACTACCAAGTGTCTTATATGTTTTCAGTTCGGTTGCATAAATCTTCTCTTGTCTCATGGTCCAGTATTTGAGCTTTCTGTTCCAGAAACAAATTGAGAAAATAAAAATGAGAAAATACAAATGTCCAGTATTTTCTAAATAAGATGTAATGTAGATTGTGATGTAATGTCAAGTGTGTCTGGTATTTTTGTTGAAACCATCTGGCAACCCTACCTTTGTCTCCCTCTTGCACCCATACCCCCTCCCAGATCTGGCACCCCCTACTCCTGTCCCAGATCACAATACCCTCCTATCTTAAGTCACATCCCAAACCCGTGCATGCCAGTCCTCTGCCCTAGGTCACAACTGCCTGCTCCATCTCATCTCCCTCCCAGACTCCAGTCCCCCTCCTGTACCCCAGTCCCTTACCCCAAGCTCCCCTCTGCACCCAACCTCCATCCCAGACCCCACATCTCCTCCATTAATATCATGAAAGACTACAGCCCTCTACCTCTTTCTAAAATCTTGAAGTGGCCTCCCATCAAAAATTATTGCCCACCCCTGTCCTAAGGGCTTCTCCCTGGAAACAATGGGATTGAAATCTGTTTCATGCAGATGTACCTCAGGCAGGAATCAGATGCTCAGACAGTTCAGTCCCAGGCTATCTTAGTAATATAATAGGAAACTTTATGGATAACCAAGGCTATTCAGAGTCATTGGCAAAGTCCATTTATAATCCCGATTCCTTCCAGGCACTATAGAGGAATAAGAGTCATATAAGAAGTTCATGAAATACAAAAGGAAAAAAACACCTCTTTGCAAATGGTAGCTAATTCGAGTGCCAGGTCAGTATCTACCATCTGTTGCCACAGGGCTAACTGCAGGTCTCCCAAACAGGCCATCACACTGACCATCTCAGAGCAGAGTAATTATGTCTCCTGTATTAAGATTTACTAGTTTTTCAAATTGGTTATCCAATATTAGCCAGTTTCATTCCTTTCTTTTTTCAGAAGTTGTCTCCACGCCTTAGTGCCTAAAGGTCAGATGCAGGAGGTAATTTATGTATAACCTTCCTCATTTTGGGTGTCCATATCTAGATATCCTGCTTTCTACACAGAGAGCATACTGTAATACAAATCACATTGTAATAGATCTGTGGACCAAAGCACAGAGAATAGGAAAATGTATTTGTGCTTGCCTGAACATTTCCTTTCTTTGAAAAATAAGATCCATAGATTCATCTACCCTGGAGACAAATAGTGATCCAAAATAGAAATGAAAATGTATGCAAGGATTTGTTTGACATCCTTAAGAAGTACTGTGCTCTGCATTTAGAGGAGAAATTGTAGTTAGCACTACCTGTCATGTGAGACCTGTATCTGTCATGTAGGAAAGTAGCCTTGACTTATCCTGGCTGTGAAAGTTATCTCAAGTAGAGTGGGCTTCAGGAGGCAGGTGACTCACAGGTCTAGTTTGGCCTCCAGTGTGCAAGCAAGCTGAGATACCCATTGTAATGACAAAATAAAATTCTCAGGTTAGCACAGATAGATTTTCCTATGCAGAGGTTACTAACAGTTCCCACAATAATAAAGAGTAGGATTTTCAAAGTCTAAACACTGTAGACCCTGACCATGCTGGAGATTTCCTTCTTGAGCCTCATTTGAATATGTGTCAATGTGAAGATGTAAGAAGTCAGCAGGAGCTACTGAATTCTCGTGACGTTTGGAAATCAAACTACATATTTTGCTGCCTACATATGAGTTTAGGAACTTAACTTTAGTCCCCAATAACCTTGCCCATAATACCATTCATCAATACTTTACTTTACTTTTCTGTATGAACTGGAAAATAGAAAAGAGAATGTTTGCTTGTTTCCATATGTCCTTTGCAGAGAGGCAGTCTCACTCTGTTGCTATGTGGAGAAAGTGGACTCGTTTCGGCTCTTGAGCAGGTGTTTCAGCATGGATTTAAATCACCCAGACTCTTCAAAAATGTCTTTATTTGGGACTTTCTCGGTAAGTGTGAGGAAAACATACCAGCCAATGCATTGCTGTAAACTTGTAAAGTATGTATGTCTGCACTCCATAGCGCCTTCAGCACTTTGTATATGCCAGGTTTTCAGCTGGCATGAATGGCATACTTGCATGACATTCACTGGAGTGCTTCCTGTCTATACCAGTTAAAAAAGCTGATGCAACACATTGGGTCTTCATTTTTCCCTAAAGGTGAACAGAGACTGTATCTGTGATCTACAGGGATTACAGTAAATTTATTGCACATTCTCTCTCTGATTCTTACTTGAATCAAGTAAGATTTCCCCTTGGATGCCTATAACTGATGAGTGCGAATATTTCCTAATGTAGTGGTGCAAGAATGAGTTGGAAACTTGGAGATTGGTAGCTATTCTGATGTTTTAATAGAGCCGTGTGAAAGGTGTAATGCATGGCAAAGTCCTATTTGAGTGGCTGAATCATCTTAATAAAAACACTAGTAACTACACACAGTGATATCTGTACTCTTGAATTTGTAAACTTTTAAAAAGCAAGTCACTTAAATAGCACTTCCTAGTTGTGTCTAGGTATAGCCTTCATCACCAAAGTATCTGATTGCCTCACACTCTTTAATGGACGTTAATCCTCTCTCTCCACTCGATGAGGTAGGAAAGTATCATCCCCATTACACATGGGGAGACTGAGGCATAGATAGGGTAGAATAAACGTATCAGAGGCAGCAAGGAAGAGGGGGAAGCAGGCTTAAAAGCCAGTTTCCCCCAGCACCGTCTCTGCAGTGCCGCCTGCCCCATCTTGATTAGCCAATTTACTGCATCTTAACATCCCTAATTCTTATGCACACTTACATATAACCTCTCAGCTGAGGGCCTTTACATTGCTTTATAAATGTTCATATAAGTGCAGCACACATTTCTCTTATCGCTGTTGCACTGAAGTATATTGAAGATGACTATTGCCTTGCAGGAATAGAACCCTGTATTGCTGCTTCCCTCATCTCTGTTCTGACCACGAGTGCACAGCATGTGTATGGTTGTTGGCATTTCTACTGCTCCAAGTCCCATCACCCATCTTTTTGTTTCTTTCAAGAAAAAGCACAAACCTATTACGAGACCCTTGATCAGAGTGAAATAGTCTCAGAGGAGAACTGGCAGACTAGAGCCAGGATTTTTTGTCGCTTCATCACTGCTATCAACAACACTCCTAGAAACATTGGGAAGGATGGCAAGTTTCAGATGCTGGTGTGCCTTGGAGCCAGGTAGAGAGGAACATTTTAAATCCTATACATAGGGTTTTGCTGCGGGAGAGATGAAATCCATAGGGCTGCTTGTGCTATGAGGATGGATTAATGTTTGCAAAGTTCTTTGAGATTTTCATATAGAAGGTGGTGGTTAATAAAGCTTGATGTTCTCATAGAAGAGAATCTCAATTAGCCGCAAGTCTCAGGGGCACCCAAAATTGGAAAGATCTGAGATTTTGGAAAATGGGTACAGTGTGAAAAAAACAAAACAGTGAGCAAGTGGGCAAGGAGAGCAAGGTGGGAGCTTGGTTGGCTGCCCAGGAAAGTGGGTGGGGGCAGGAAGAAGCTGAGATTGAACAGCCAGATCATCTGCCTCAGTTCAGGTGACAGCAGCAACTCCCTCTCTTCTTCAGTGTTCACTGAAATGAACAGGGAGGGAGATATAAGAGCCAGCCCTATGCCACCTGTGGGAGTTCCCTAGCAAGTGACGTGAGTGGATTCTGTGCCCTTTCACTTGTCTGCATAGTGCATAGCAGGAGTTACAGTATTATTCCCCCTTCGCCAGTATATCTGGAGACAGTGGTCAATCGTATTTAAAAAAATGAAAAAAATGGATTAAAAATGAGACACTAACTTGGTTTTGGTGGTGGTTTACAAATTCTGAAATCTGTCTTTCTCAGAGACCACCTCTTACACCATTGGATCGCCTTGCTTGCAGACTGTCCAATCACAGCACAGATGTACGAGGACATAGCATTGATTAAGGACCACACTCTTGTTAATTCCTTGATTCGAGTGCTGCAGACCTTGCAGGAATTCAACATTACGCTGGAGGCTTCTCTTGTCAAAGGAATAGACATCTGATCTTTTTCACCGCAGACTCAAAAAAAAAAAAAAAAAAAAGAAGAAGAAAAGCAACAAGGAACAACTCTTATTAGTATGCAAAGGTTCTTTCTGCTAATAGGCTGTATTGTGAACTTGTTTATGGCTACAAAACACGACTTTGACTTTTCCTGAAAAACTTAAAAATAGTGCAGAAAAATGGGCAGAAGCTGTAAACGCAATGTTAAAAGGGGAAAAATGAGGATTTTTTGGTATAAATCTATTTTAGAGTTTATTTGCTGATTTGCTTTTTACACACTTTCATGTGAAAGAGAGAGAGATGACTATTTGTGCGGCTTATTTTAAAGCTGCAGTATTTCCTTGCCATAGATAATGTGCTGTGAGCCTTTCAGCATTCCTGAATTTGCCTTCAGATATGCTGTATGTTGTAAGTTTTAATGTACACACTCCATTTCTGCTAAGAAGGTCATTTTAGAGATTTTAAACTAATATTTTATATATTAACATTACTACCAATGTTTGAGTTTTTTTTTTTTTTAACTAATCTGGGTCACTGCTGTGCTGCAAGGGAAACTACAAATTCTGGTATGTGCTTTTTAATAGCCTCAGAGCACTGATTTGTCAGCAAATTGCTTTCCTTTTTGTTGTCAGTATTACTTTTTGTGGGTTCTAGAAGACTGAGCCAGGCAAATGGACAGAGATTAAAGTAATATTTTTCCTATTGGTACATAATTGCACAGAAGAAATTGTGTGTTTGTATTTTTAACTGATGTTTTTATTTATTTAACCTATCATTGTGTTTTGTAAGATTATGTTTTTAAAAAAATCTTATATGCTATAACTGGCTATATCATGTTTGCAATTCAAAATGTACACTGTGGTCCACTTAAATAAGAAGCCTAGATATGCGAGTGACTTGCTAGCAAAAAATGTTTGTGCACGAGCCTTTCAAATTAGAATTTACCATGGTTGGAATTCTCTTCAATTTAACAGCTAAAGATATAACTCCCAAACCCCATGTGCTTTGATTTATATTCTAATGCAAAGGGGACAGAGGCTAAGGACAGTGCCACAGTGAAGTATTGATGCCACTCATGAACCTAATTCCATGTCTCCATTTCAAAACTTTCTGTGGCGATCTCACTTGATGAGCACAGACTACATATAGGATTTACTGTTGAAATACCAAGTTCTCCTATGTGCTAACTTTACAAGCTGCTGAATTCTGGGATGCTTGTGTACCTTACTAAGAGTGTGGCTTTAGCCTATACTCCTAGATTGTAACTTTCAGAATGCTTGGATTTTGTTGAAGCATACAGCTTGGGATTTGGTAAGTGCATAGAGACTGCTCCATTCATTTCAATTCTTGGATAAAATCCCTTTGAAATGCATACCTGATTTGAGAGACACACCTGGTCAGCATAATGAATTGATGGTCAGCATTTCTGGGCTCTGTAGTTAAGTGGTCTCCACTGTATAAACTTCTCAGCAATATTTCCCTGACTCTAAGGAATAGAAGATCGTTCTTGATTGTCAATCCATAGAATGCTGTGGCACCTTTTCTTATTTCCTACATTTGAGTGACCCCTTGTGATAGCTTCATTTCCGTAACTTAAAGATATAGCACATGTATTAAATTTTTGACTACTTTTACTTTTGTCCTATTTATTTCATTATTAAATGGAGAAGTTTCTTTGTCACTCTTATTTTCTTTTATCCAAATGAGATCCTGCCTTGAAGGCTATTAGTGTTGGAAGAGTGAGTGGGCAGTGTCTAGCCCACATGCTCAGTTTCCTTACACTGGATGGATGAATGCACTTGCACAGTTTGGGGTTCACATCACTGTGCATAGAGCAATTTTCCCCCATTAATTTTGGAAGGAGGAGGATTAGAATGGAGTGTATCTGTGTTTAAATAATTACTACTTCAACCCGAATAATAGAACAGAGAATCCTTGTACACTCACCACTTTTAATCAAAAGCTTCCTGTCTTTCAGTCCACACTCCAGTTTGTACTCGGCATGTGTATGTTACAGTGGGTATGTCTACATTAGGAACACATTTTAGTTAACCCTGATCTAGCCTCAAATTCTTGTCCTATAGATGCAGGGTAATACTGTTTACCTTGATTTAGTTGGCCTGAGAAAGGCCCTAAGCAGAAAAGATGTTGGGTTAGCCAAAATGTGTTAGCTAATCTCAACTTCTTTTTCTGACACTGATTTGGCCAGTATGGCAAGTGAGTGTTGGTTTGGTGGCTTGTTTGTTTTTTACTTCATTGTTCATGATACATTGTACGAAATCCCCAATTGCAGGATGCAAGAATGCAAATTAAGGGTCTCCGATGCCTGAATGGCAGTTGCTTTGGATAACAGGTCAAGCAGTTTCAGTTGTTTTTCATTGGAACATGTTAGTATCCAATCAGCAAATCACTGTTCAGACACGGAGGGAGATGGCAGAGCATAATCTAAACCATGTTTTCTCATCGGCAGTACCATGTCATGATGAGCCATTCCTATCCTCTTTCATGGACAAGGGGCTCCATTTAGGTCCCATTGAAATCCAGGGCAGTTTGGTCACAGACTTCAGTGGAACAAATCATTACAGGCCTGGAAGGGTCATAGGAGGCTGTAAGTGCAGCTGAATCAGTGTGGTTGTGTTGGGCACAGGACTCTGGTGGAGAACTGTGTTACGCAGCTTAGCACTGTGGCAGTCTTTGTAAGCAGATCAACACATGAGGGATTAAGGAATAGGGTGAGACCCAAGTCTACAACAGCAGTTCCCTGGGTCAAAGCCTGCTAGGAGACGCCACACTACTTCAACATGCTCACCACAATTCATCTTGTAGTTCCACACAGTCTGCTTACCTGAACTCAATAGATGCATCAGCACAAAGGAAGCTGGTTTGGGCCCAAAGTTAGACACTTCCATAGCAGTCACTTCTGACTGGCAGCATCATCTGCAACAGTTCCATGCAACATACTACCATGAGTCACCTCTCGGGGCTCATATGACAATAGAAGGTGCCAACTGTTGTGTCACAAGACCGAGTTTTGTAAAATAATTCTGCCTTTTCCAAAATGCTGTTCCAGAATGAGAGCTACCCATTTACTACAGCTTCTGGGACAAGAACGCTGGTTGCAACTTGAGCATGGATTGGGCAAGGCTGCTAGTAGACACATTTACTGTATGCTTTGAAAAATGAATGACCAAAATAAGCCACTTATCATATTAAACTAAAGCTAAAAGTGCAGTTTTCATGTTAGCACCTTCCTTGGGGATGTAGGAGAAAACAACAGACAAAGATATTACCTCTTAAATGTTTTTTGCATAGCCAATACTATGATACTGGTGTACACAGCAAAAACCAAGGCTGGTTTTGGTTTTTTTACATTTAATGTAATACTTTGAAGGTAATACGTTTGTTTTAAAATTTTTGAATTAAAAATTAATATCTACAGGGAACCTTTTGTCATGTTCTGTAGCTGAAATTATATTGTTTATGGACTGAAAACGATTCTCCTACTTGTTCCTTTGTGAAGAGTATTTTTAAATTTTAAGAATTGTATATCTGGGACCTAATAGTTAAAAGCTCCATATTTTTTTTGGTGTGGCAATGAATTTATGACTCTATAAAGGTTTTGGTTTTGCAATGATGCTGTCAACAAGAGTTAACTGTCATTCTGTATAGTAACAAATTTTTTGTCACCATAGTGCAAGACACTGTAGGAGACTTGAAAATACTTGAAGTTATTGTACATGTACTTCTCATCTTTGTAGTTCTTTTCCTTTTATATCTAGAGACTGGCTTTTACTCCAGTTAAGATGCAGCATCGGTTAAGTAAATTATATATTTTACTACATGGAGAATTCACTGGCATTTTTTAAGAGTGGGCATTGAAGTTTACAATATGATGCCTGAGAGCAGAAAACCAGGTACTGTACTCTTTTTTTTTTTTTGGTAACTGTTAGGTCAGTCAAGTATTACTGTAACTTGGAAATATGAAAGTTTTGCAGATGTAGCTTATTTGCTGAATTGCAATAAAAATTCTACTAACATGAGGAACAGCATTAATTTAATGTACCATTTTTGGCAGCTTCTTCTCATCAGGCTAATTATCATCTCTTTCATAATGGCATGTAGAAATAGTCCTTGCTTGCCACTTCAGTCAGGCCTGGGCTGACTCATTTGTACCAGATGACTTATTACTTGTTTAGTGTGGCCAATTTGCTTAACACTGTACAATACACAAAATATTCCCAGTTTCAAAGATACATCAGAGATGGGGGCACTAAAAACTTGGAGGGTAATTTATAGATCCGCTCTCCATAAATAGTGTTTAAACTTATGAGCATCATAGAAATGGGCTTTCAGACAATATTTGAATGAGTAGGTGGTGAATGAGTAAACCGGGGTAGAGGGGCAATTCTACCCCAGTGAAGGAATAGTGGCGAAATAAAGGGGAGAAGGATGAGACAAAACTGGGTGTGTTGAGACTGGCATTGTTGGTGGGGACATTGTGGGGGAATACAACAAGAAACAAGGGGTGGGATGGAGGCTAGGTCAGAACTCTGCAGGGATCTGAAGGACAAAAAGTTCAAATTGTGTATAATGGGCAAGTGAAGCAATGAAAGGTGGGGATGGTGCTGTAGATGGGTCAACAGGTGAAGAAGATCATTGCCCTGAGAGGCTTTGTAGCTGGATACTGCAGCAAGCAGGACCAAGACCCATGCCCCATTGCAACAGTATGGGAGTAGGAGGAAGACCAGGCCTTACACAAGTGGATGAGTTGCCTAAAACAATGGCTCCCAAACTTGATTGGTTCATGTGCTACCTTCTAAATCAGTGTTTTTCAAACTGTGCTGGGGCTCCGCGAAACATCTCCAGGGGCTCCGTGAGGTTGACAAACTGGAAACATCGATAGGTACAACACATACGATCAGTGGACCGCTGGGGCTCTGCATAAATTTTTTACGCATGTAAAGGGCTCTGGAGCCCAAAAAGTTTGACAACTGCTGTTCTAAACAATTGTGACGTGAAAGGTTTACTTGATGGCCTGGTTGACAAATATGTATATGCAAGGCCATCCTTCAGCTCAGCAGTTGCCTGAAGGATATATTCTCTGAATTTGCCACATCTTTGCCTAGCTG